TAAATTTAGAATGTTTAAATTGGAAGGAATCTATGCAATAAAGTTAGGCTTAAATATAAATATGAGTTGGCATTTAAATGAAAATGGAAAATATGTGAAAATGACAAATGGAATGATAATTATTCTAAAAATTTCTGGAAAATGCCATGTGGTAAAGTCATTAGGAAGAAGACATGTGGCAAAATCATTTTGATTTATTAGGTTTAAATATGAGTTGTCTTTGTGATACTCGCTTGGAAGACCCTGAGGGTAGCTCGTGACATTTGTATGGAAGACCATGGGGATAGCCCATGACACTTGGATGTCAAACCATAGGGGCAACCCATCGCATTTCAAGGAGAGATAATGGGTTAGCCTATGACATTTGGATATTAGAACATACGGGTAGCCCATGGCATTTCAGGGAAAAGACCATAATGACCTTTCAGGAAAAGACCACGGGGGTAGTTCATGACAATTGTATATATGGTATGTGGTATTTTGGGGAACTCACTAAGCTTTGTGGTTACGACTTTCGGTTTATGTTTCATGTACTTTGGTTTTCAAAGGGAAGAGTTCAAGATGATTACATGGCACACACTACTCGATTTCGCATTCTGTGATTTACTTTGATAATGATGATATATTGATAAAACTTTGATTACCTTGGTTTTATGAAGATGATATGATTTAATGGTTTATTAATTCAAAAACAAAAAAAATTTATGGTTTTATTTTTTGGATGTTACAAGTTGATATCAAAGTTTTGGTTTGAAAGATATGGGCGAATCAGAGGTGACAAAGAGAGAAGATGATCTCGTTTTCATTTTTGAAAATCCTCAAACCCTTCATGGATTTCATTTCTGATTCAATGGCTCTGAAAAAGAAAGAGGAGGTGAAAGCAGAGAGAGAGATGGAGAAGATGAAGGAGGAGAAGATATGTGGTGGAGATGGAGTTCTAGAAAGAAGTCGACGATGTAGAGTATGAAGGTGATGCTAGTGATGCAACGTTAAAGTGACGATGTGGAGGTTGAAGCGACACCTATTATGCAGCGTCAAGGTAGTAGTGTGGAGGTTGAAGGCGACACAAACACAAATGTTTTGGACGGAGTGGTGGCGGTTGGTGGTTTTTAAATGAATATTTGTTTATAAGAATTAAATGATTATTTTAAAATTAAAAACAAAAAATTAAAATTAAAATACAATCAAACAGAGGTAAAATAATAATTTGAGATCAGTAATATAAAAAATAAAACAACAACGACCAATCATATGATAGTTGTATTAAATTAGTCTTTTCTGACTAACCATAAAGACCATCCAGGTGATTTTACCTTGTTTCTAATTTAGATGATATCTAAATTTGATTATCAACTTAAAGTGCAAAATTTTCATGTTTATACTAAAAAATGATTTCTATAACTAGTATGTCTAATTTTTATCAACGTTTAGTTGTAACTATTGTGGAATCAATTAAACCAAGCCTTGTTTTCATGTTTTATTTTGTTGTTTTTAGGTTTAAACGACAAAATCTCAAAAAATCATTCATTGAATTGTATCTACTACTTTAGGAACAATCTTAAACCATTTATTTAACTCTTTTAAAAGATTAAATGTATAAATATTAATTTCTGGAATGTAAAGATGTTATTTCACACAAAAATATAAACTAAAAGAACTCATAAAATAACATTCTTGGTAATATTATCACAATTGATAACTTTACATCCAAATTTCAGAGTTTTTTACATAAAGATGGTAGTTAAAAAGTTTTTACTAAACTGAGGAACTTTTATATTTATTTACCAAAACATAGTTGTTAATTTATATAAAAATTTGTTTTGGTTAATTCTTTTATGTTTTTTAAAATTTTCAAAACAACTTATTATTAAAGGACATTTCTTTGAAGATGCCATGACAAACTGTCAAACTCCATCCAATACCCATTGTTCATCGTCACTGGATACTTTCTTCATTTGTCTCATTTTGGTCTCATCGTTCAAAGCCCTGTCAAAAACACTTTCCGTTTCCATGGTATAAAGTAAGGAAAACATATGCCGTTTTGGATTTCCATGATATAGGGAAAAAGAAGACGTCGATTCCATTCACATCTTTTTCCATTTCCATTTCCAACTCGAACTATTACACAAAAGAGAGCCTATAAGGTCACATGAAAACGAATGGCAACCTGGTTCTTGTTTTTTTTTTTTTTTTTTTTTTTTTTCTTCAGATGGAGAAGAATCGAAGAGAAGAAAGAGTGGGGAAGAAAAGACGTAATTGGTGTTTGGTGGGACCACTTCTTCTCCACCAAAAACCAAGCGGCCACAAAAAATATACCGATCTACTGATCTATAGCTGTGTACTCCATCCGCAGTCACTCATTATGATGAAGCAATATATTACAGACTTACTGTGTGACGTCTTTAATACAAATTAACAAATAACAGACCTTGTTGACAGAAACTAGCGAAGTAAATTTGGATAAGAAGTTGAAAAGAGGAAGGAGGAGATGATCAAATTAAGCACACCTCAATGAATTTCTCCGAAGCTCCTACGAGAATCTTAGTGGGAACTCCAAAATGCTTGTGTTTTTCCTTGTTACCTACAACTCATGACAAAACCGTCTGCCGGTTGCACCACCGATCATGGATAATAATGTTGGATTGTTCTACTGATTGCTACTCCAACTAAAGACCATAACTTTGGCGAATCAATAAACTTTTAGCTAATTTCTAGTTTGTCCTTGCAAAATTCACCACCACTGTTGAAGAAGATGATGAATTTGGATGTTAGAATTCATTTGTTCGAAAAACTTAGAGTGATTCAAGAGTTTATGATAGTTTAGGATTTACCTCGATGCTTCCGACAAGAGCTTTCCTGAAAAGGTAATGGGATGTTGATGTTGGAGAGGTATGATGGTCTTGGTTGCATGCCCACGGGCAGAGCTTCAACATATTATTTGGGGGCTGAAAATATAATATGTATAAAAATCGGAGAATTTTGGGGGTTGAAAATATAATATGTATAAAAATCGGAGAATAGAGGAGCCCCCTTGGCCCTAATAAAACTCCGTCCATGTTCATGCATACCACAAATTCCATGCATGGAGAAGAGGAAACGAGGGAGGGCGGTGTTCGAGAAGGCGGGAAACGACGGAGATTTGATGGAAGTTATTATCTTATTTGGTAAATTAATTAAGGTCCACAGGAAAAATCGGTTTTGCTATCTTTTAATAAATACTTTTAAAAATACAATAGAATGATAATTATTTTTTTAAAACACTATCCTATTGCACAACTCCACATTTCATAGCAAATTGTTTATTTATATAATGTAAATAAATAGTTATTTTTTTTTTCAAAATAACTTATAACCTAATGGTATCAAGTTTGATGGAAATATGTTTCTTAATTAAAGGCTGATGTTAAGCCAAGTAGCATTACTTATTAGATGAAGAATACGTACACATGTGTACCTACCACCATTAAAAACATGAAGAAAACTCATACATTGATCCCAACACAAAACTTGATAGTTGATTCTTATATTGTTTTACTCCGACAACATAATATTTGTATAATATTTGTATAATATTAATATAAACTAATAATATAACAATCGATTTGATTTAAAACATTTTATTTATATTAAAATATATTAAACTTTTATATGATAATTTGGATCCTTAAGGGGTGTTTGTTTAATCTTTTAAAACATCTTTTAGCTTTTAGAAAAAGATAAAAAAAAAAAAATGTTTGGTAATCTTGTAAAAGCTATTTTTTTATATAAGGAAAATAAACTTTTTGGAAAAATCATAAAAACATTTTTACAACTTTTCCAAAAAGGACTGTTACCCTTTCAAAAGCTTAGCCAAACATCCCTTAATGTATATCGATTCTTTATTTTCTAACCCCTATAAATACCAACACAAATGTCAATAAAATACTCATATGAAATATTTAAACTCATCTTATCTTAACAAGAGCATAAGTGGTAAGATGAAAAAACTGATATTAAAATTAGAAAAAATAATGTAGTGAAACCTTTGCTAAAAATTTCAGACAATTGGTTATGATAAATTGTTTTTACAAAACAAACTCTTATAACATAACATCCTTTAAATTGTATTGATTTTCACAGTATAGATTATGATTTTCGCAATCAACATGACAAGACAATAAATATTTCTTTAAAAAAAAAAATTACAATTCCACATAATTTTTTGTAGTCATCTGCAAATTTCACAGTCAACGATACAAAAACCATATTATTCTTAATTTTTTTTTTTGCAAGCCAACAATATTTTTGAGGGTGCTGCTAATAAGACACCCCTTAGACACCCTATAATCATTTTTATAAAAAATCAACCTATAATCAACTTCTTGTGATCATCTTTTTCGGAAAACAATGCAATTTCAACCAATAAAAATATTTCAAACATTAATTAGGGTTATCTAAATGGTAAAATATAGTGTTTTTTTAACCAACCCTTATTTTTGAAGATGATGGCATGCAAAATTTATAGCTATTTTGGTATTTTTCCTATTTTTGTAAGTATTTTGTAATAAAATATTAAACGAAGAAAAACTATTATGCTCTAATGACTATACTTAAAAGTGTTTTATAATGAACACACAAAAATGAAAATATTAATGATTTTTCATTATTAACCAACAATAACATCAGTTTGAATATTATTTTAAAATTTTAATTTATAAATAAACTCAGAAAAATATATATCAATCACCATTCCATCTTGGAATTAATGTAATAATGTCTACGAAATTGCCAGTTTGAAGTATTCTATCGATTTGAGACCCCACGCGATTAAGCCTTCTTCTTTCATTGGTTTCTTCTTCCACTTGTTCTTATACAATGATCGGAACCCGAAAGGAAACTTCATGGAATCAACTACGAAAACCCTAAACTATTGACGTTTATCGACTTAATATCTTCATATATTCACCTTTTAATCACCTCCAATCGTTCACATGTAAACACAGTTCAACCAAAAAAAAAAGATGAATCCAAATCATGTTATCACAATAGACCAAGAGGTGATGAAGTTCATGAACACCCAAATGAAAAAACCACCAAAATTACTACACAAATCAGCTGGATATGACTATTGTTGCATATTCCGAGTCCCCCAGAGTCTTTTCGAGATCAACAGGGAAGCATATCAACCTCAAATCGTCTCAATCGGCCCATACCACCATGGAAACAAGCATCTTGAGATGATCGAAGAACATAAATGGAGGTACCTGGATGATTTGATCCAAAGAACAGGTAACTCAATTGGATATTTCATGGAAATCATAGTGTCAATGCAGGATAAAATTCGACAAAGCTACTCAGAATCTATTGATCACTTTTCCGCCAATGATCTTGCTAAAATGATGGTGCTTGATGGGTTTTTCTTGATTGAATTGTTCAGAAAAGTTGGAAAGTTGGTTGAGACTAAAGATGATCCAATTTTCAGAATGGTTTGGGTGTCTCCATTTTTGATGAGAGATCTTTTAAAAATCGAGAACCAAATCCCATTTTTTGTTCTCCAAAAGTTGTTTGATGAATCTAAACCTGAAGTGTCTAAACCCGATTATCCCACACTTTCATCTTTAATCCTTGAGTTTTTCAATTACACAGTCGATAGGAAAAAAAAGATACTAAATGAACACAAGAATACCAAAGGGAAACATTTACTAGATTTTTTCCGAAAAAGTTTCATAAACCCTAAAGAACAAAACCCAGTTCCCACCGTTGACATATCCAAAAGCTCTTCCCAAAAACTTATCCAAACCCCGACCAAACTCAAGATCAATAACTCTTACCTTAAACTCATCCCCCCAGCGAACAAACTCAAGATCAATAACTCTTACCTTAAACTTATCCCCCCAGCGAACAAACTCAAGATCGTTGGGGTTAAGTTTAAGGCAAGTCATGAACCCGATAGCTTTTTGGACATTGAGTTCCGAAATGGTGTTCTTTCGATTCCTCAAATAAACATGGACGATTTTTACAGTTCGTTCTTTTTGAACTGTGTGGCTTTTGAGCTGTGTTATTTTCATTGCTCCAAACATATTACAACTTACATTGTGTTCATGGGATGTCTAATGAACACTTCAAGTGACGTGGGTGTGCTTTCGGAAGACAAAATTATTGAGAATTATTTTGGAACGGATAAAGAGCTAGCGAAATTTTTCAAAAATGTTGGAAAAGATGTAGCTTTTGATATAAAAGATAATTACTTGACAGGTTTGTTTGTGGAAGTAAATGAGTATTGCGAGAATGGGTGGCATGTGCATTTGGCTGGGTTTAAGCATACGTATTTTGAGAGCCCATGGGCTGCAGTTTCAGCTTTCGCGGCCTTTTTGTTGCTTTGTTTTGCGGGTTTGCAAACATTTTATACTGTCTATCAGTATTATAAAGCTAAGAAAGAGTAGAGACGGGTGGTTCGAGGGTGGTGTGAAGATGGCGATTGATTGGTGGATAATGTTGTAGTCCCTTTTAATATTGAACGTATATTTGTAATAAATTCGTCGTATATGTGTTGGTTTCAATATATTTTCTATAGGTTGTAAGTTTCAAAGGCACGTTTGTATATGGCATTCTTGTTACTTTTAATGGTATTTACATCCTATATTTATGTGTATTTACGTGTATTTTTTTTTTTTGAAACCGGCGGATATTATTAAAACCGCGGTCTAAAGGAAAAAGACCGGGTACAAAAGGAAAAAGAAAACAAAATGTCAAAATGTCAAAAGAGGAGCAAACTCAACATTCTCATTTACAATTTCCAAAATTACCCTTATATTTCAACTAACTAAAAACCATAGAAATCACATTATCCGCCAACTTTGAAAAGTTCACTTGGGTTCTGTTAAACCAAACGTGGTACATTGCTTTCCACATACACCATAGAAACTCATAGCAGATAGCAATAAATATTTTTCTCTTTTTTGGACTGTTCCCCAATGAGATAGCAAAATTAACAAAATTTGAAATCGAAAGGAACCTTTGAATAGAAATGTCACACCAATTGAAAATCCGGCATAAAGAATCAAAAGCAATCGAGCAATCCAAGAGAATATGATCTGCAGTGTCCACACCACTAAAGCACAATTGACAGGAAGTAGAAGACGTGATGGTACCTCTCCTGGAAAGAGCCACTGCAGTAGGAATACACCCCATACAAGCTCTCCAAAGAAAACTAATGCACTTGATTAGAACTAAGTGAAGCCAAAGCGTGGGGTTATTTATCGGGATAGTCAATTTACTGTTAATGAGGGACCTAAAATCGCATGCACGGAAAGAGCCATCAACAGTCAACCTTGATCTCCAAGTGTCAGGCCCATTGGATCTCACAACCATCCTTGTAACATGCAAAATAAATTTCAATTCTAGCAGCTCCTGAGAATTGTTGGGTTTCCGCTTCCAAGCCCACGATAAAACACCATTCACCCATCTGTCACCTAAAAGGCAAGTTTTCCTCTTGTCTAATTCATATAAATAGGGGAATTTCACTGCCAAAGTCCCGTTCTTTAGCCAATCATCTAGCCAAAACAAAAATTTCTTTCCGTCCTCCACCTGAAATTCAAAAATATCCAAAACATCAATATCAATATTGCTAAGTGTCGAGAAGATATTGACAATACTACTTCAAGTGCCCGAGAGAGATTTTTTAGCCCAAGAGTGAATATGCTTCCTTTCACATCTATGAATACTACCAATCACTCGCCTCCAAAGAGAGTCATTTTTTATTTTTCAAAACGAAGCTTGTAGGATGTATCACGTTGGTTGTGCGCTTATATATATATATATATATATATATATATATATATATATATATATATATATATATATATATGATTTAGGGTTCGTATCCAGCAGCCATTCACAATGTAAAATTTTTAGTTTCTTGGGCTCTTTGATTTAAGTTTTTTTTAGATAATGTTTGTGTGGCCTTGACAACATACATCAATAATGTTTTCCATAATGATTTGATATATAAATCGATCTATTAGTTATATTCCCATGCTTTGTAGCGGAGATTTTATGTATGTAAAAGAAAAAAAAGATAATTAAAACGCATTCCTATTATTCCCTTGTTGGCTTTAAATTGTTATGAAAATGCTTCTAAAATATAGCAAATGTTACCTACATACAAAATATGCTTTCAAAATGTAATAAATTTTAGCCAAATTTTATGAAAATAAAAACTATACTCTCAAAATGTACATTTGAATTTATAACTATGCACACTTGAAAACAAATATGTATTTGGAAAAAAGATTTAAAAATACATAAAAAAAATAATCTAGGTCAAATTTGTAAAATAATAAAAAAAATACTTCTTATAAAAAGAAAGCTATAACAAAGTTAAGGAATTTTTTTTTTTAAAAAAATTGAATAAAAAAGTCTTAATAAAAGCTTAAAATTGGCCCAAAATGTAAATAATAAAATTTTGGGACCCAATTCATAACAAAAATTAAAAATATGGGTTAAAACTGCAAAAGTGAAAAATATTAAGATCATAAAGGAAAATTAAGGGACTAAATTTATAATTATTATTAAAATTTTAAATCAAAGTTGTAAAATGAATGAATGAATGACCCTTAAGTAAAAATGAAGGTGTATGAAGTGTGTAGTATTCATCAAATTGTGTTTCAGTTTAGTTACGGTTGAGCATATGGATCGGGGAACTGGTTGGAACCGGAACCCGATGGAACCGGTTGGACTGGAACCGATATTATAATTTCGTCAATTTTTTGAACCGAGACCCGATAAGAACCGGTCATTGGAACCGGCCAAAAACTGGGAACCGAACCAAATAACTCACTCGAATTTTGAAAGTTGCATATAAAAACGCTTGATTTAGTTAAAATTGAATGAGTTAGTTGTGGGGGTGTCAAATCACATTTTTTTTTTATTTTTTATGTTTCAACAATTAAGTATAATCTGACTTGTTGTTCAAATACACATAACTCACTCAATTTAACATGTTTTGACTTGAATATGTTTCCTATGTGTAGATTAGGATTTGTAGTTAAGTTTAGACTATAAAAAAGTTTGATTTTGTTAAAAATTGAATTAGTTACAAGCCCCGCAAGGAAGGGTGTCAAATCAGAATTTTTTTAATGTTTCAGCAATTAAATGTAATTCGACTTTGCTGTGCAAATGTGCATAACTTGCTCAATTTAATATTTTTTTTACCTGAATCGTTTTCCTACATGTAGATTATGATTTGTAGTTAAGTTTAGACAATGAAAACTCTTGATTTGGTTAAAAATTGAATGAGTTACAAGCTCCGCAAGGAAGAGTGTCAAATTAGATTTTTTATTTTTATTTTTATGTTTCAGCAATTAAATATAATCCGACTTTGTTGTTCAAATATGCATAACTAACTCAATTTACTTGTTTTCACCAGAATCGTTTTCTTATATGTAGAATAGGATTTGTAGTTAAGTTTAGACTATAAAAAAGCCCCGCAAGGAAGAGTGTCAAATCTGAATTTTTGTTATGTTACAGAGATTAAACGTAATCTGACTTTGTTGTTCAAATGTGCATAACTCACTAAATTTAAGTTTTTTTGACCTGAATTTTTTTTCTACACGGAGCTTAGGTTTTGTAGTTAAGTTTAAACTATAAAAACGTTTGATTTAGTTAAAAACTGAATGAGTTACAAGCTCCGCAAGTAAACGTGTCAAATTAGACCGGTTCCAAAATCGAAAACCTGGAAAAAACCAGACCCGAAACCGGAACCGGAACTGATAGAACCGTCGAGCCGGGTCGGTTCTTGATTTTGGCGAAGCCGGTTCCCGGGTCCGGTCCGGTTCGGTCCGTTTGCTCATGCTTAGGTATAGTTATATATTTATATAATGGTTAAAATGTGTGTGTTTTTTTTTTCTATTTTATATGCATCAAAACTTTTTTGAATTTTTTTTTTTTTTAAAGAAAAATAGTTATTTCAAAGGAATAAAGGATAGTGTTTAAAGACATTGAAGCCACATAAAAAGTTCCAAATTTCAAGTGAGAGGGAATTCGGAGATCAGATGGATGGATTACAGCAAATAGGGCTCCCGGTGCTCGGAATCGTAGCAGCTGCTGCCGTTACTTTCTATGTCGTCAGCTTCTCCGAGCTTCGAGAGGTAATCTCTCTCTCTCTCTCTCTCTCTCTCTCTCTCTCTCTCTCTCTCTCTCTCTCTCGATTGATACTTTATCCGTTTACAAAATCCAAATCAATTCATTTTCGCAATTTCGAATTTCAGAAATCGTTGAACAGAGATTGGGATGACGATGGATCTGAAAACGTAGGATTTAAAACGTCTTTGAGCTCAAGAGAAAGAAGAACCAGAAGAAAAGCACAGAAACAGAGTAATAAACCCTAGTTGTTTACACTGCTTTAATTTCAATGTTAATTCCAAAAAGCTGCCATTGCTACTCCCATTGTTGTTCTGGAACGATTTTTTCGTGTTTATCTTGCTTCTATAAGATGAATTCAACTATATCCTCACCCTAAATGCAAATCTTTTTCCACTGTATCATATAGTTTCTAATTTAGATAATACCTTAAATCTTATTATCAACTTAAAGTATAAAATTTTCGCGTTTATACTAAAAATGGAAAATTAATTAAGAAGGTAATTAAGTTTCAAAATTTGATAAAAAATTACCCAAGTTCAGCTGGTATAAAGAATATTAGTGAACTAAAGCCTTTATACACACAATATCATGTAAATATATGTTTTGTTTAAATTACATATAGTGATAACCGGTGATTGAGTTAAATTTTTTTTAGTTTTTGAAAAATAACCAATTTTTTGGGAACGTATAGTTCATATTCTAAAATATTGTTCATCGTTTTTCAGTTTTTTTTTTTTTTTTTTTCAAAGAAATTATTTGTTTGTTTTAAGATTCTGAATGCTATATTTCGTAATGTTTAATATTATCATTTTTCAACAAAATATCTAATTTTATGCACTTATATTATATATAATTCATATTATTATGCTTGTTTAATTTTTTGTTAAATTATGAAAAAGATAATAATTTTTTTCTTGAAATTCCGAAATTGTTCATCGGATTTCGGACTTCTCTTGAAATTCCAGAGATTTTTTTTCTTTTCCTAAATCTAAAATTTTAGTCCGGAATATTAATAGTACTCCAGAATTAAGCATTCCGGAGGACTATATATATTTCGGAATTTTAGTCCGGAATCCGGAATGTCATTCCAGAGTTCGTAAAAAATTGTTTTTTTCATGGTCTGGAACTCGTACAAAGTGTTTATTTTTGATAAAAAAAAAGGTTATATTTTTCAAATACACATTAAAAATTTGTTAAATTACTTAATTTTCCAAAATTTAAATGGAAAATTGATACTATATGCCTTGGATTGATCTGTAAAATGACTTTTGAATGTAACTAAGTTTCAAATTTATTAAAAAAAAGATTATTCAAGTTTAGCCTAAACAAAAAATATTATTGAAGTAAAAATATGTACACATAATACCATCCAAGTAACTTTTTCTTCAAATCACAACTTAGGATATAATACAGAATGCTTCAGGCATCAAAGATGGCAACATCATTACAAACACCACTCCACTAATAGCAACAAATGGTGCTCACTAGTGACTTGGAAGAAGACAAGGAAAAGAGAGAGAGAGAGAGAGAGAGAGAGAGAGAGAGAGAGAGAGAGAGAGAGAGGACTTATTTCTCTCCTCCCCCTATCTCCCCCCTCTCTCTCTCTCTTTCTTATAACCGGTCATAAAGTTATTCACGTCACTATACACTACTCCCTCTAGGAAATGGTGTTCCGCTAGTGACTTGGTTGTCACATCATCTCGCAGACCATTCCATATAGCCATGGTAATTGGTTTCAAGTAAGTCGTAGGCATGCTTCAAGGAATGTGTTGCTACTTGATATCCAAGTACACGGTAGCTGGTTGACGAGAACCTCTTCTAATTGGCAGGCTAGATTGCATGCTACAAGGAAGAGACAAACATTAGATTAGAAAGTTATATTGAGGGGTAAACCCTGGTATGGCTCTCTGATGCCTAAGGTTTCGTTTGTTTTTTCAAAGCGGAAATGCTTGAAGTCTGCGAACCACCTCTATAACCCTCTGTAGCAGAAGAGAGGGACCAAACAGTTGTAGCATGTAATAAAAAGTGTGTTTTTTAACCTCTACAGACTGCTGCAATAAGTTAAAGTAAGGTGTGAAGAGGTTTAAAGCAGATGGTCAGGTGATGTACCACGCAGCACACGCACATGAACTTTAAGTCATAAGTCTTTTGAAAAACAAACAGCTGTGAAAGCCAAGTGTTGCGCGTGTGTTGCGTGGTGTAGCAATAAGTGATTAGAAGTGGTTGTTTAGAAAAAACAAACAACACCTGTATCTATGAGACCATCATTGAAAAAATTAACAATATTGACGGACCAAAACTACTCATTTTACTTGGAATGGACCAATTAAATAAAAACAACCCTAAAAAAGGACCAATATTGGAACACTAATATGCCAATTTTATTGGTTCTTTGTGTGTGGCATGAGCTGGGTGGAAATTCATGAATGACTATGTAAACCAACCACTTACCCAACTAAACATAAGAACCAATTAGGAAAAGAATGTTCATGGGAAAAAAATAAAAGAATCAGAGACTAATCTTCTAAAAAATTGGAGAAACAAGTTCCAAGAGAAGAAAGACTCTATGGAGGTCTAATAAGGCCTACTTTGGTTGTCATTGATTTTCTTTATTATAGTACCCCACTTCAATTTTTCCTTATTTTAGCATTGTACTTTGAAACATTTATGTATTTAGTGGAGCATCCCACTTGAATCACAGTTACGACCCATGAAGAAATGAGCTTATGCATCTCCACATCAAGGTATTTACTTGACATGCTAATGTTATGAATGTAATAGTTTTATCATCAATGTATTTGGGCAATGTATTAACATTATGAAAATCTATTCCACTTAGTTTCTTGGTTTT